AAACAAGTCTTGTTTTACTTAAATATCGATAACGTATATGCACATATCAATCCGTGCATGATAGTTATATGTAAATATGGTAAAAGAACTTTCATTGTAAAAAGATTGTGCTATCAGAGACATATACAGTGTAAGTATGATTGATCAACATTAACTAAAACGTTTAAATGACCTTCTTTACATATACAGTAAATTAATTCATATAGGAGTTTGTTAAGTAGCAGTCTGTCGGTTATATTTTCAGTCAAAATTACATGACAAGAGAGTGCAGTGTAACGGAGAAGACAAGAAAGGAACGTGCAATATACATGTACTTCTGGATGTTGGGTGTTTGCACCATACTAATAATTACATTGATCTGGACTATAAAATCTCTCCAATATGACATGTCATGTTATCTTTTAAATATACCTGATGGGTTTAGTACACACATAAATGATATAAAATACGAAACTACATCTGTATTTACACTTATTCACTGTAATGTACTCCTTCCATTTGATTTACAATGAACAAGCAGAAACCAGTGCCTATTACGTATTACGTATGAATCCCTTTATAATGCAAGGTAAATCTTTTAAAAAATCAATACAATGCGTTTTTCCTTGTTTTCTAGAGAAACTAATTTCATGAACGAATCGAATTCTATCAAAATAAAGTGGTGATAATCGGGTATTCCAGAAAAATAATAAATTGTTTATTTTCTATCATAAATTAGTGAATGTGGATTGCATCTAAAATGACTGACAGAGGGCTAGACTAGTAGAAATAACGTGACTATGTGAACAGAACATGCCTCATTTATCAGTAATTAAAGAAATAATGCAAGATATGAATCGTCAAAGATGTACTGGCGAAATAGATGTAAAATAAGCGAGGTGAAAATTTCCCAATTTGCAATATTTGTTGGATTGATTGAACGTACTTGTTATTTTGTATATATTTTAAAAATGAATTTTTTTTTAAAATTAATTGAAAAATTTATTTATTTCTTAATTTATTTATGATATTTTGATCGTTTATACGTAAACGTATATTTATTTATTTAATGGAATTGAATAACTCCTAACTTTGAATTAGATGAATAAAGACATAATAGCAACATGTATGGCATTGCCTATCGACTTAACCATTTATTATTTAAATGAATATTATTTCGTTGTAACAGTTTTTTCAATAAGTTTGAAAGGATGTATTCACTATTACAAAAGAATTGACCTATTGGAGAGAACAATTTCCCGGGAAAAAGTGACATTTAAAAATCAATCTTTATTTGTTGTTTTCTGCCGTATATATGTCTTAATTTTTCAAATTTGTATTTCACAACTAAAATTTATTATTTACAACTTTACAATAAACCTCCAAAGTTGGCCGAAACACCATTTTGTCCGTTAAAGCGTTGATTTTTGCATAAATTTTGGCCTAGAAGTCCTTCAGGGCAGGCCTGCCCCTAAATAAAATTGTGATATTTTGATAGGTTGGGATGTAAGGAGTAATTTAAGATAGGATTTTTTTAGGGGCACCCCTGCCCTAGGGTCGAAATTCACAAAAAACCTACAAAAAATAAGTAAACCTGATTTTGACAATCTGCTTCAAATTTATACCATTCAATCTAGCAGTCAGAATAGCTCATTTGATATATGCGCTGACTTTTGTATCGTGGGTCCTTTCTTTTTAAAGTCGGGGGTTCGAATCCACCTGGTGCCACACTTTTATAGTTTTAAATTTTCGCCTTTTCAAAGACTATTTTAAATTTTTTATAGGTTTGTGTATTTTCCTTCAATTATCTATCCTTTATGCATTCCCATTCTTGATATAAGAAACACTAGAGAGAGATCAAATCGTAACAATCCAGTGTACAGTTGTCAGTCAGGCGGAACAAATCTCAGTATAAGCACACTTTCTCCGAGGACAAGAATAACTCACTCTGTGTTACTCGATACAGGTATTCTCGGCAGCATTGAGCTGCGATGAATTTCAATTGTATATATTTCTTAGAATTTAATCACATTGCTTTTATTCTGTCTGTGCTACTAGTGCTTGTCTGGGTTACATGTAGTATGTTACGTATTGCTTGAATTATTTGAGCTTTATTAATAAATTTAGAATAACATACATGTACTTTTGTTTGCAGTCAGTGTTCTAAGATCTTAAGTTTTGAAACAGTAGGGCTACAAATACCAGTAACTGTACTCCCTTGGATTTCATTTAGGCCTATATGATTTGCACACATTAATGGCATGTTTTTATTATATCCAACGAAAATGTGTTGTAAAATAAATAGGCTAGACATAAAAAATTTAATTCCAGAGACAGTAGACATTACCATTATGTACAATAAGAAGTAAAGAAAAATATCAATTATAATTACATTTGGAGATCACAAACTCAGAATATCAATAAAAGTGTTCCTCCTACCTCTACTCACTGAAATAAAGATTTATGAAAAACAAATTTTTACATGTATTCAGCCTAATGTCATTAATCGGAACGGAAATAGACAAGCTTTTTGTAGAGAAAAAAACCAAGCCCGGCCCTATAGGTCAGATCCCTATTTATATAGAAATGAACCTTTAAATAATTTTTCAATGATAATGATAATAATGTTCACATAATTTGGGTTGTGAATGCAACCCCATCATCCCATCAGTCTTTGAAAAAAAAAAATCAGACTTGGGTGTGTTTCTTGAAAAATTTATTCATTATAATAGAGAATTATATATACGCTTCTGACGCTTACTCTGGGCACGAAATAGAATTACAATATCACGCTTTTCCTCAAGATCGAAACCTAAAACTAAATAAAAGTTCCAAGATGCTTAGAAAACATTTTCAGTAGCTAAAATGTCAAGACTAATTCCCAGTGTTGATGGATGAATAGCTGAAAAATCTGTTGTAGAAGTATATTTGGAGAACTGTTTTTCCCCATTATTGATCCCCGAGGTGTTCCCACCGAAATATCAACCGTTTGTAATCCAATTAGTCTTGGAAGTTTATTAAATTTTTGCACCTTAGCCGTACCATTAATTATACTTTCATTATGCTAGTCGTTCCTCGGTGGTTAAAGATTCTTCGTCTAATGAATTTATAAACTGTTTAGCAATCACAGTTGGGACGAGCTGGAAGAGTTTCGACACAAGGCGTTCCAGATGAGCTGAGTAAGAGTGGCGCTTCTCTCCCGTCACCTAAGTGTTAATTGTGTTAGTCTAATTCTTGTTGTGAGGAACGCTGAGAAACCATCGCGTAAACAAAAGACACTAGTACTAGAAGCCCGTACGTGTATTGATATATTGGAAACGAATGGCGCGAGTTCGAAAATGATGTCCTTCTGTTGTCGACTTTCATTGATTACAATTGTCTGAGAGGTGCAGTACAAAAGAAATTTAATTTGTTTTATGAGGACCACATTTAAGCCTGACGATACGGGATCTATAAATATGAGACAGAGAACTTTAGCATGTTCCTGTGCAGTCGTAATAGGCACTGGTTTCTGCTTGTTCATTGTAAATTCGTTATAGGAACTGGTTTCAAGTTGTCAGGCGCGTGGCTGCCTATATCATATATGCAAATACGCAAATGCGTACACATCATTCTCAGAAAAAAAGATAAGAAAAAAAGAGAGAATTATTCGGAGAAAAAATCTCAGTACCATCCAACAAATGTTGGTCTTTCAAATTATTCTGTATCATACTGTGTCGATTTAAATTTTAAATTATCATGGCTGTATGATAAAATTTGAAATCTTTTATTTAATAACTGCCAAATCCAAATAAATAATTCATTATTTTGTCATTGTTCTATTATACATTGATATTTTTTTTAAAGATCTTTGAAAAATTAAATTTCAGTCACATCGTTGAGTGGTATGATCTACTAGTATGATTTACAATGCGATATTTTTTTGTTCATAATTAAAATTTTGTATACGTGTTTTAAAACGTCAAGAATGATTACATGTATATGATACCAATTAATATACCGGTTAAATCTTTAGCCTTAATTACATGTACAATAAGTTTCGATGGAATATTAATTTTCGTTAAAACAATAAATATTACTATATTTCCTAAATAAAAACTAAATGGCAATTTTTATATTTCAAGAAAATGAATGAAATATTTGGTAAAACTCCGGAGCTTCTGGGCCCTCAGCAGGCACGTAGTATCAGGGGAGCCCCTCCCTCCCCCCCCCCACTTATCCCCAAAACCTAACCTTTTACTATTGAAAATGTACATTGAAAGGGTGGACCCCCACTGTTTGTTGCACCATTGTTAAATCATGGAAATTTGTTAATGTATTAATAAAAATTTGGTTTGTGAAAGATGGACACCCCCTCCCCCCCCCTCAATAAACACACACACACACAAGAAATATGACTTCGAATTTTGACAATCTTCCTTTTTTCGTCCTTGCTTGACAAAATTTTTAAAGTTGTAATTTTTTTCCTGGCTGGCAAAAACTATATAACGTGCCTGACCAGAGCCCTTAAACACGGGGGGGAGGGGGGCGCAAGACCACCCCCACCCCACCCAACCCCCTGCCGTTCTCTGCGTACACATCATTTCTATTCTGGCTACGTGCCTGGTTGTTAAGGAAATACGTATTTGCAATGATTTCATTCTAAATTAAAAGTCTGCCGACTGAATTAAAGAACAAATTACAATAAACTACATGTACTTCAGTATACTTTTACATTTTCATGCTTTGTCATATTTTTCATTTTTTTAAAATTATTTCCTTTATAAATACACGGTATATTTAATTAACAAGGATCATTTTTGTGTCTATCAGTTTAAACATATAAAAGGTGAGAAAGAAACTTCACACTTTGATTAGAAAACATGAAAAGGAGGGGGGTGTCCGATGTATGACAGAATTTACAAACAACATAAGGGGAAAAATTCATGCTTTGTAAAATTTATTGATGAACATTCATTTGTGACATTCTTCAGATTACAACACATCGTTGCAGGAAAGCATACATCTCAGTATCGCCACTGTGATCTTGAAAATATGGTAGGTGCTTTACTTAATAATAACTGGCACTGTAAATCCATAATGTCTAGACATGGCGGAGAATGGATCGTCCGTCAAGAAAATGCGAAACGCCTATCAAGAAAAACAGTACATTGTAAAGAAAGAGGGAAATTCTAAATAAGTTTTTCATGGATATTAGACTTAAACATACACCTAACTGTAACTTCTTAATAAGTTCTTTTGTGATTGGTATGGTTTGGATGAGGATTGTACTTAACAAGGGTCCCGCAAAGAGGAGCATCCCCTCGCAAAAGATCACATCGATCCCAATATAAATAATACTTTCATAACTTCCGTTACGCAATCACTCATCCCACGTACGCATTCGTGTTACACTAGTATATCCCCTCCAACGTCGTTGCGAGGGGGGGTAACTAAAGAGTACAGTTCAATTTACCATATTGAGTAGAAATACTTACTGCGTTGTTTTTCAGATAATCTTCTTGGGTATCGAAAACATTGTAACCTTTGACCATCACGTGATCAAATATGTAGCCAACCGCTGAACTGGTCTTGGAACACACACCTATGTCGGGTTTCCGAACAAGGGCATTTCCGCAACAGTAAGAACAATCGGCTTCTCTGTTCTTGAAAGAATCGGATACCGGATCTTTGTATCCGAAGTCTCGTAAGATTTCCAAGTTCCCGGAGAATTGTGATGCAATACTCCCCTTGGTTATGGCGGGACTGGCGTTTAAGTCGCCCATGACGATAACTTTAGGAATGTTGAGGAGTTTCGTATACAGGGCTTCAAACTCAAAGAAGTTCTTCTCTTCATAACTCTTGAATTTGTTTGCAACTAAAGATATTTACAATGGAATAAATTAAAGTTTGTACAATGCTCAATTGATGGTTTTGTTCCATCTCTTGTTTTCCATCAATATAAAACTTACTTTTCTATTTTAATGAACTGAAATTTTTTTTTTTTTTTTTTTATCAGATTTGAATACGATATCCTACAAACCTTCCACGTATTCGTCTCCGAATTTCTCCGTTAAGTGTGTGCAGACTACCCTCCCAATATGATGGACCTGTAATGAAATGATTATAGAAGTGATACGCAACTTATATTTGCTTTCATTTGCTTAGCTGAGGTTAATTAATTGCTCAAACAACTCTTGCATATTTTCTTCACATCGTAAAGATTACATTTTTTATGTTGATAATGATTTATTACTGGGTTATTTTGTATTTAGAACAATTTTAATTTAAGATATTTTACTTCAATCAACCCGTTTCTGTCAACTAAAACCAAGTAAACTTCATCCTTAATAGAAGTGTTCTTCGATTCTAACTCGCCAACACTTTTGACTTGTTAAGAGACTCTTTTGATAATATTAAACTGAGCACGGAAGTCACTGGTAGTTTCAAATGTATGGAATCATTTTATCTTCTCTTCCGTTTGTATTATTCATTTTTACATCTAAAAATATAATAACGATGATTAACACCATATGAGTATACTTCGAATATTCATTTTAAATCCGTTTTTCCTGCGAAGAATCAACCCTTTTCAGCCATTTAATTTGTTCACTGTGTTTCAGCCATTTCTGAATTGCGTACCGTAGGATAGCTTTGGCCAAATAATGTCAGATATACAACTTCGTTTTTTTTAAATAAGCATTTTAATTTAATATTTAATCTGTATCTCTCAATGCAGGACTTATCAAAATACTATCTTAAATTCTAAAATCAGATTGATTTCTTTTTAAATTCATTTACTGGGAGATAGAATGTGAAAACCATTGCCGATATTGGTTCTTATTAGATTTTAAATCAAAGTACTGAAAGTACTGAATCGAGGTGACGTCTTCGAGTAAAATGTGAAATCTATCCCCAAGTTAACTGGCATATACAAAACCTTACATCAAGAGAACCCCAAATGAAAACCATTGGAAAGCAAAAAATGAGCAATACGACAAATGCATAATGTTATGGAATTCAAATCATTTTTTTTTTTCATTCATATTATTTTTTTAAAGCAAAAATTGAATTTCCAAACTGATTTTAATTCTTTCACTTTAAATTAACCCAAATCCAAATACATCATAACCACTTCAATCATCACTTCATGCGTCTGTCAGTTTACGCCTGCCCGAAGTAGCCGTGTAGGAAAATGTCATATTTAAAGAAAGGCAATTATACCGCATTCTAAAATCTGACTTATCAAATAGACAGTGGATTAGGGGGTCCATGATTTTAGTGATGGATTTAGTCCAGCAATTCAAAATCTATAGCTGAAAGGTTTCAAGATCGAAGGAAAATTATGGATACAACTATTAAAATAGTTTGCATAAATGTAACGAGGGAACAAAAAAAACATACTGTATACATGTAATAACAATTTTGAAAATTATGGAAATGCCACTGACTACACTTGAAACGCAGCATTCTGTTTTAATTCAATTAATCCTCTTTTTAGGAAGATTTCACTTATAACACCTTTATGGAAATAAATGCTTCCGCCACAAGCCCATCCGCGACTGAAGATTAATATACATGTATTTTAAAAATTAAAAAAAAAATTGATTAACAAGTTTCTTAAACCGGTAAATACAGAAAAAAACAAATTTGTAAACTCAGGGACCAACCTACTAGCCTAGACCCAAAATCTAGGGATACATTACTTCTCCCTCAAAGAAATAAAGGGAGAAGTTTTAAATTCTACGGAGATTTCTTAATGCACGTTGATCATCATTTCAACTTAGGAAAAAAAAATAAATGCATGTTAATGTATATACCTTAAATAAATTTATATCCTAAGAATACTTATAGAGACAAAAAGGTATATTTAAAAAAAAATTAATTATTTGATATTTTCAAATTGCAAGGCATATAAATGTCTACCTGAAAAACAAAATTATAAGTACATTGTAAATCTATAAAGTTTTCAACTGATAGACTTGGGTTTATCAAAGTTATTTCATTTCTTGCATAGATTATTTACACTTAAGATTAAAACAATTTTCTCTTCTCATCCCTCCATATTTTCAGAGCCTTATCAAAGTAGCAAATTTGTTACATTCTCTTCAAAGTTCATTTTCAAATTCCTTATTATTATTTCTTTTTTGTGAATGTGTATTTATTTATTAATGAAAACAAAGAATAATAAATTAATTACTATATTACGAAAACTAGTAGATCTACTACTGCATGCCGACTGAGCGACTTTATTATGCAATCGCCTTTTTTCACTGTTTTTCACGAGTGATCGCCAAAGACAGTTAATACCTCTAAAATATATGTCTGTATTCAAAGCATGAATTAATCTTTTGACAATAAAAATAGTCGACATTCATCTCCAACATCTTTGGTATGACATCGATTGAGGTCCAACTGTTTTGTGTCTTGTGAATAACTTTTAACAATGTACTTTTTAATATGCAGAAGCGTAAATTCTAGAGGAGTTCCGACCGAGTATTCGATAAAGTGGTCATAAGCAGCGAAATATGTGCCATTCACCTATTTCAACAGTGATAAACAGAACAGATTTATAAAATAGTGACAATATTTCCACTTGTTCTTAATAGATTTTTAAAAATGATTTACACAAAACAGAGGGGGTGAAAATGTTGAACTTCGCTTTTGTGATATTTTACGGTAAAGTTTTGAGTTCAATAGCGACTATTGCGCATCAGTAGCCCCTATGTTGATCCCCAAATTCATTTAACTGCATATTTCAAAGTAAGCAGAACGCCTCTTCCAGCTAGTTTTGTTCCACGATTCTGTTCTCTCCCTTGCCTGCGATCGACGTTCAATACACATACATGTAGGTCACGATCTCTGTCATAGCCATTTGTTTACATTTTACCCTCGCTAAAATCGTTCGGAGCGTAGGGACACTTCATATCTTATTCCCACTAAGGAACTTGTATTTATTATTTGTAAATCCATGAAAACGCTACTTATTGCTTGAAAATCAAATTAAATACATTTTTGATCTTGTTTTGTAACCAAAATTCTGATTCCAATGCATGTTTAAACAGAGGACTATATTTCTTAGTGAACTGATAAAAATTAACGTTTTAATATTTCAAATCAATCTTGCAAGTGCTATTGTTTACATATTAGTAACCTATCTCTGATTTGGTCCTTGCTTTCTAAGGTATCACTCGTTAGCATCAAAAGTAGTGAATTGTCCCGAAGAGTGAAGATAAATAAGAAATTGCAAATGGTAGTGATCTGAGGGGGGCGCCATTGAAGCTGGTCAGCAGCTTTCGAGACTGACTTACGTCACCTCGAAAAAGCATGTGTAGCCTGAAAAAAAATTACGGTTTTGCTCAATCTATTCTCCCCAACATGTTTAAATTAATTATAAACAAGGTGAGGGAAAATGTTTAAAAATAATTATTACAATAAAATAAAATGAAATTAAAAAAAAAAAACAAAGTTAACAAACAAACAAAGCCAAAAAAAAATATTATAATATATATAGTAATATTCAAACATAAAAACTGTTTGTCAAATTCATATTCAATTTAAGTGTTGTAACTAATGTCTTGTAATGTCTTGTAACCCTTCTCAAAAACAACCGAAAAATTACAATAATTGTGAATAAAAAATAACAAACTAAGGTAGATTTATGGTAATTAACGTAGAAGAAATTCGGACAAAAATTTTCCCCATTTTTGAAAGAAATTCTTTTCTCTCCATATTTTCCGAAGAGGTAAATTTGTAAAGATTTTTCGTATCATTTGCAAATACTCTGTGTAGTTAAGACTTATTTATTATTTCAAAGAATTGGATGACATACAATGAAAAAAAAATTAAAATATAAATAAAAGCCATTCAAGACACCATATCTCAAGAATCTGATCAGAGGACCTCACATAATACAAACCAATAGAATAAGGGCAAAAAAGTAAACTGAGGTCATCAATAGTGTATAGTTATTCAGATTTTTTTAAAGGACAGATGATACAAACATTTATCAAAAAACTTGAAAAGAACAACTTAAGTCGTGTTTATATTAGCAAAATGAATAAGTTTAACCGCATAATTTTTAATTTTTCATTCAAAGTTTCACAATAATGGGATTTAAAGGGACAAAAACTTGTATAAGGATGATTGCAGAAAGATAGATTTTTGAACATCATAGAAAGTTTACTATTGCTTAAAATATTTGCATCATTTACAACCAAAATAGGTCCAAAAATATATATACCATTCCATTTGTCTAGTGTTTCGTGTCTTACGATGTAGCTTATCTAAAAAAAAAGGGGGGGGGGCATTGAGCAGATAAATTAACAGGAGTCTTATATTGAGTGTTACAAAAAAATACTTTATTCTACCTCTACATCTAGGAAACCACGTTGTACAATCTCAGAGGACTTTTCCCTTCCTCCCTTGTAAAAGGTTTTGGTTGGATGATACAGACCTCGTTGATGGCTTAGAAGACTGTATTTACTGAGAATAAGTAACCCTGTAGGATTAAAAGCGTATGTTGATTTTGTACATTCTGCGAAGTTGTCCTCCTCCGTACCCTGGAATATACAACCAAGACACGTCTCTGACATTCTTTGCAAGATATTTTTTATTTTGCAAATGTCTTCGATGCATTTGAAAATTTTGGTTCTTTCAAATGTGAAGTGGCATTCTTTAAATTCACATTCGCTGATAGTTTTTAAGATTATGGCATCTTGTTCATCACAGGGCGGGTGAAGTTTCTGGGAGGCATCATAATGCCCATTGCTGTCGTGCAAAAAGCTGTATGAATACTGGAAGTTTGATGAAGTCTTTCTTACAATGGCTTCTACATCCCTTGCATACCATACGCCCTAAAGGAAACATTTAGCAATTTACTGTATTACTGTACATGTTTAATCATGCATTTCAAACTTTTGTTTTTGTGTAAAATGTTTAAACATTTACACGGATAAACCCATGTTAACCTATGTAATAATTTCACTGTCGTGCTAAGTTATGAATATCTTTCTTCAAATTAAAATCATATAACGTTAACCAAAAACTTCCGAAATACTAGTATTAAAAATGATTGGTCTTTATTGATTTTCCGATGCCAATTAGTTTTCTGACAAATTTATTGGACTGATTGAATTTGACGTAACAAGAGAGAATAATCTCAGTTCACTATATTCCTTTTTATACTTTTTGATTTCTCTACCTGCAGACACAACACATCTGAATCCTCGTTTTCCTCCATGGTCCTGATCTGAGCATTTCGTCGATTGGTATACGAACAGGAAGTTGGATGACGCGTTTTGGGGTTATCGGGAGGGCAGACGGAAGGTGAAAGGTCACAGTTGTATGTAGACATGTAAACGACTGATTGCCGGAGCGCCTCAAATTCTTCTGCATCGATTAAATCTTGGTCCCTTGTTAAAGTCGGATGTATCAAACAATAAGATACTATTGCTGCTATTCTTAGATGCAAAAGCATTTTTTACTGAAAACATAGAAAAATATTATCAGCAGTTTTCATTGGTTTGTTTAACCAATACTGGCCAATTGTGGAATTCTAATCTGGACAATAGGTTTGATAAATTCATTTCATTGGCTGAATATAAGCTTATACAATTCTTCGTAGTATGCCTCAGAACTACGTGATATAGTGACAGTATATAGAATTATAATTTCTGCCTGATCTAGTAGCTCTGCACGTATTTTTCTTTTACTCCATTAGGTCGTCACAACAATTTATGAAAATATAACTGCATCTTTACCCCCTGGAAAGAGTACCCATACCATATAATACGTTGGTTTTTATTATTTAATTAAAGCGAGAATGCGAAATAAAGTGTTTGTACAACCCTAAACAATAAAATCATGGGCCTTGACGGTCACCCTAGCATTACCTTTTCTAACCAAACTTTTTATCTATATTTCACTTCTATTCTCAAAAAATTAGACTGTGTATTGCTTCATATACTCTGTCTAATCAATCAAATATTCTTTTTTTTTTTTTGGAAGTCGAGCAGCAAAGGTCTAACTAATAAAAATTTCCCTCCCTTCGGCTTCAGCCAGGGGACACTAATATTGGGGTAAAATGAGGTATCCGTTCCGTTCTCAGATATGATAACTGTTTGATGCTAGTTGAAAATAAGCTTTTAGAATATTTCAATGCATTCTAAATTTACATTTTGAGCAGAAACCTGAATAGTTTATGATTTTTGCAAACTTGAAAGAACGCTAGATGTTCAGTCTACTTTGCAAGAGGTTTTTTCCGCTAAATTCAGTGTTAGATCAAAATCTAGTAAATGAAAGGTGCCTACAAAATTCTCAAATCTTTTAGTGATCCTTTACAAAAACAGCTTGGTAAAATAAGGTGTATTGGGACATAATTTTGGGGGAAAATCACCGAAAAACAAATATTTTACGCTGTCATTTTTAATGAAAAATAAAGAAAGTATGGCATAAATTTAAGTTTTTTCCATTTCAGAAAAATGTATTAATAATGCCCACAGTCTCTTGTAAAACGGTTTTTCTTATCTTCTTGACTTCTCCTTTTAAATGATATTAAATTGAATGTAGGAAGCAGAGTTACTTTTGACATGATTTCAAATTGAATTCCAATGACAAGTCTGTGTGATTTACACACATAACTCACACAAAACTTAAAAACATTCTTTAATTACTAGATCTTGACCTTGTTAAAAGGGAAAGAGCAAGGTTCACCGAGGGCTTTATTTTGGGCCCTGTGAATTTCTGAAAAATCAAAACTGCTCAATTTTACTTGACAATACACTAAATATCACTTGGAGCCTTTTCGACTGCATATCTACTGAAAATGACGCAATTTTCTCTCTAGTCCATGCATTATGACATCACGAATAGCTTCATTTTTCCCAGACCATGAAAATTTCTTCTAAAATGGCCAAATGTAGAAGCTGTCTTTCAATATTTTGTATAGAGTCCAACCTCTGATCCAAGATGTGCAATTAAATAACGAAAGAACTACTTCTGAAGATTATAAAACATGTTTTATTTTGGGAACGATGGGTGGGCTCACATTTTAATTCTTTGCTGAAGGTACTCAAAAACACCCATTTTCTGCAAATTTTAAGAACATTGCAATTTCACAAAGCTTTTTTAGTACTTGGATTGTCATAGGAAACTTTGTTATAGAAATGAAAGCACTAAGACTCTCCTTTATATTGGTGCTTGAAATGGACATAGGGTTTTGACCAATTACTTGGTATCTGGACAGGGCCGTTTTTATGTATAAAGTGAACCAAGCTCTTTATTGCAAAAGCCATTTTCATTCAGCCACGCCAGTGTTTTAGGGGGAAGGAAAACTATGATTTTAGAAACTTGAGTTTCTTACTTATTTTTTATGTATTTTTTTGTACAGAAGATTTTTATTATTATTATTATTATTATTAAGTTTTCAAATTTATAGGTTTGGCTAGAATGTCTCATTGACAATTCCTCAATAGATAATTTCAGACAAACAGTTATGCATTACGTAATGCATTATATCTAAAAATAAAATGTTCCTATAAGATAATACAATGCACATGCCTTAGCGTATTATTTGTTACCTTCAAGTAAAAATGAAAAAAAATGAAAGTTTTAAAGATTAGAATCAAAACACATCATTAAAATATTAGTTTAATAAAATTGTTCATAATGATATTTACTTTCTTTTCCAATTTGAAAAAATATGCATACTGAAAGAAAAACAAAAATACTGAAATAAAATCATAGACCTACCTCTGTCAGAATTCTGATCATAGTGAGGAACCAATGGGGGGAGTTGACACTCTTATTGACAAGTATAAACATGTACATTGTTTTGATAACCGGAGACCAGATACATAATGTCCTCAGCTGTCAAGACTGCCGATTGTAACTGTGAAATAAAAGCATTGGACCTTCAAAAAATGTTTTATTTTCATTCTGCGGAAATTCAATATTTTACATTTGAATTTCGTTTTAACACAATTTTATAATACTTTGTATTTTAACGTAATTTAAGGCAATTCTTTGTCCTTAAATGGAAAAGCTTGCGAGTAAACGCTAGAAAAGTAACTTTTAGGAATCAATAAGCAGTGTACTCTGTAGTCAGTGTTCTTTTTTTCTTTTTTTAAATAGAAATTGCTAAAAAAAAAAAAAAAAAAAAAAAAAGAAAGAAAGAAAAAGGTTGGTTTAATTGGGAATAAAGAAAAGGGACAAGTCTTTTTTTTCAATTGTGTATTTGAAAAAGCAGCGGTTGAAAGACAGAGTGCATTACATTTGAAGGGCATGTTTTTTTTCATACATGGCACTGTCTATCAAGAAAGTGGTTTTTATCCTGAACAAAAAGTTTTGATAAATGCTTCTTTTTTCGTAGTTTTCATCCTGTTTTGTTGTGCATTAGATATTTTTCATCAATATATATTTTTTCATCAATAGATGTTATATACGGTGGCTGGCCATAGTATAGGGCATGCTATGATAATTTGTTTTATCAACTCGTGGCCGCAAAATAAAATTCTTCTTAACGAAATGTTTTGTTTGAACGAAATAAAATTCATAGCCATGAAATAAATTACTTTATGTACTGAAAGAATAAAGAAACACAGGATAAACTTTTGAAGTGATTTAAATTTTTTTCGAGCGTATTTTCCAGCATTTATCCAACAATTAATTAATAAGTAACCAAAATTTCATTTGATTTTGATTGATAATTCATGAGTTATTGTAAGTCATTTATGGAAGTCAACAATATCGCTATGTGAAAGATTAAAGCACTGATGTAGCTGTGATAGCAATGGAGATCTCCATTGCAGTCACAGCTTTGATTCAACTCTACATCATTCAACCCTTCCGACAAGGCAGCCCTTCGCATTAGTTGCAATCCCTACCGTTCCACAAATGTTCGATTGGAGAAAACAGATAACTTAACAGAGGCCAGTCGAGAGGTTTAATGTGATTGTTTACGAGAAAGTCTTGACAAACTCTGGCTACATTTGACCGGGGGTTAAAGGGTTTTTATCACGTCTCAAGTTTTTTTGATATGACAAAGTTTACATGTTATTAAAATCATATATTTAAAATTCTTTGTTAGAAAATTAATATTTTTGATGTTTCAGTGATTCATAGTTTGAATTTCTCAATATGCATATTTTGATCGCCGATGGTACGCGCCATTGCTCTGACGGCATAGGTGTCAATCCTGGTCAAGCGAAGTACTTACTGTGTATACTAGGACATGTTGCGTCTATTAAACCTGTTAGAAAACAATCATGTGATAATTGACAGCTAGTACGGTACAAGTAGAGCTTTTTCAAAAAGCTTGCCGTCTTTAGCAACAACCTTAAACAGTAAACTGACCTTAAACTATCAGGCCGTATAATTCTTGAAAATTTCTTGGCTCTGTATTTCTTCATTAGTTTCTTCTGACATAAGCTCTACCAAGTGAAACGTTAACAGATGCTCGGCTGTCTCCGTAAACATCGACTCTGCTGCTGAGGGCATTCGGCAAACCTCGGCTGATTCCATCACCTTTGTGATATGTAGATGAGGTACGAATCGGCCGAGGTGTTGCCGAGTGCTGCCGATATTAGGAAGACAGTGCAGAAGAAAGGGGAAAAGAATACATACAAATTATAAAGCTTGCATGCAATAAAGATCAATTCTGTTAACAATGAAAATATAGAAACGTTTTTGGTAATTGCTATAAAAAAAACTATCATGTTAAATCGAATTAATTAGTTCCAATTTCCACTGTTCGTTTTGTCATATTTTTTTACGATTGAAAATCTTGAAAAATTGTTAAGTCGTACGAAAATTAGATCATCAGAAAATTATCTCCCTTGCCTTGAACAGCATTTCAGCCAATGAAATAATTGAAAATTTTCTCATCATGCAATTTCTACCAATCACAAAAGAGAGGAAGTGCATAGTCCGAAGACTGTAAAATACTTCAACTCTGTATACCGTTTTCCAAGGAAGACGGTAATAATTTGTGGTTTTAGGATGCAGAAATGTGCACGAGAAAGGTTTTAGGAAGATATTTTCTACATTTCCTGGACTTGGTTGAGAGATGAAAAAAAGGGGGGGGGGGCTTTTTCTGCAAACGCGACGGCGTGGTTTATCTCCATTCAGAACATTCGTTTATGCCCGATCAAGAATGTTCTGTGCTATAAAATATTTTGAGGAAAAGATGCCTTCTAAAAAAAAAAAAACAATAAATGTCAAACACGCATTTTTAAAAATCCCACAGAATCTAGTAGAAATATTGTGAACTTCGTAATGGCATATGGCGCCATTGAAGAAGTGTCATTTCTAGTACATGATATTCAGTGCTGGAACAGATGGAAGATATACTGTACAGCATTTATTTATACATAAATAATTGCAAAAATGAAGAATGAGAATTCAAAATTCCCAAATTTATAAATATTTACGAAGTTAAACTTTACTAATTCGTTCTATTTAGTCGAAGTCACGAGTTGT